AAGTTAACATTCGTTGTTAAAACGTTTGTGAAAGAGCAACTGTTGAAAATAAGTGTATCGTGAAGTTATATTCAGAAAGAATAAACCAGTTTTATTAAGTAAGGACTTGTGTCACTAAAGTTTCGTCGGAACGAAGTTACGGAAAGTTAATTAACAAACGGAGACGTAACAGTACTGTATATTTCTTAGCCTTGCATCTGTGGCCATAACTTAAGAAGTAAGTCAAATTAATGATTACCTAGGTAGAAACATCTGCTTTGTGTAGTAATAGTGTTGGATGGTTCATGGTTTCTGTCCTAGATGGAAGTTTCTGATGTGTTATTCAAACATTTTCTAACTGCATTAAGTCTGCCAAAGTGTTAGCTTTTAACACTGCATAAACAAATATCTGGCTTTTAGCATAAAGATGTAGCAGGATATAGCTTTATTTAGGATTATGATGTTAACATGAAAATGTAGTTATGAATTCAAGCTGAGGTTTTTATTCTCAAAAATAACCTTATTATCATGCTTATGATTTTTAACACAAGTATGACAGTGTACTAAGATTTACTTATAAAAGTATTTAATGTGCAGTGCTACTGGTGGATCACAACTGACATTGTATTGTAAAATCCACAATCAAATGACTTATTTGAAGGTTAACTCGCAGGACTAGTGAAATAGAAAATGAGTTCTAGAAAATACATTTGACTCATCATTGGTGTTAAATACTTAGTCCTATTTTATTTTTGTGTATTGTAGAATGATTGAAGAAATATGTATTAATTCTTTTTTCTTAATAATCTTTAAGCATAAACTATGAGATGTTAAAAAAGGGAGTAAAAGAGAGTAACATTTTTCTATCAGTTATCTCCATGTAGCTCGTTAGTATTTTTAACAATATAAGTGTAATTTGTTTCACAGTTATATTTATGGGCTAATCTAAACAAAAATTGATGTATGTTTATGTAATTTAAAATAGGATTTGATGTTTTAATGGGTTTTGTTACAAAATTATATTTAGCTCTTGTTACAACTCCTTATAATTTATAACATTTTATTATTACATGTAAATGTATTGTATTGTGTAACATATTGATTTCTTATTACAACTCCTTATAATTTATAACATTTTTTTCATTACAAGTAAATGTATAGTTTTGTGTAACATATTGATTTCTTATTACAACTCCTTATAATTTATAACATTTTTTCATTACAAGTAAATGTATAGTTTTGTGTAACATATTGGTTTCTTGTTACAAGTGAATGTATAGTTTTTGTTTCTTGCTGAAAGAACTTCTATCATGCAAGGTGTGGTGTGTCTGTTTACTCTGCTTTCATTATTTAACCTTACACTTTAATTTTGCATACAGAACCTTGTGTCTGTTTATTCTGCTTCAATTATATTACCTTATACTTTAGTTTTGCATACAGAACCTTAACTTGCACATTTATTTTCTCTTATCTAGAGTGTCAACAGTTACAACATCCATGTTATTCTTCAGGGTTACAGAGATCCTCATCAGGAACCAGCACATCCAGCATGGATAGCCCTCAACAACAAAATTCATTTGAACGGTGGTCAAATGCCAGTTGGAGGCGCTCATGTTTTCAGAATGCTGGATCTGATTTTCACTCTCAGGTAGTTATTCTTCTTTTATGTAAAAAAAAACACTAACTGACTATGTGAGCAACAAGAATGGTGTAATTATTTTTCAAGGCATCATGGAACATGCAGGTAATAAAAGTAAAGACATGTTTGCTAATGAGTAATGAGGCCTATAATAAGAGCATTGTAAATAGTGTTTGAGTGAAATATGATTGATTGTTTTGGATGAAAAACTTTCAAACAGTAATTGTTTTTTTTAATTGTTCAGATCTTCAGCGATGTGCATATATCGCATCTATCATCAGTTTTCAGGATTGTATATAACAAATTAAACAGTTTGTATTTTTCAGGATTGTATATAACAAATTAGACAGTTTGTTTGTCATTTTCTTAACAGTATGAATTAACAAACATGTTCAACTATGATTTTAAAAAAATACATGTACCAATTTACTAACCATGTTTAGTTTGTTCATTCCTAAAGTTGTGTTATTTAACAATTAAATTAAATAACCATTTTCATTTATCCAAACTGTTGAGGCTGTGCATGTTTAGCATGTGAAGAACTTAAGGGTGTTCATTTGACAACATAACAATCATGTTTTGCCTTCATTTGAAAGGTTTGCATATCAGTGCATATAGCTACTATTGTCATTAACCTATATCTTCCATACTAACAAGTAACAAGAAAATTAACAGAACTAGATTACCTGGGGAGCAGCTTCATTTGGCAGATAGGCTTGTATATGCTGTTCTAGTGATTTAGGTTGACCTTAAACCTTTAACATTAAATCTTGCTTATGAGCTTACCTCAAGATAATATATTTTGTTTAAGTGAGTTTAAGAAAAAGCTTGGTAAGTATACGAATGAAAACGGCTGGGTTTAAATTTTTTTTTTAATCATTTTAATTTAGTTTTGAGGATGGAACAGCTGAGATGGAGTAACAGGTCCATGTTGTCCCAAAATATTATGTTATGTACATGTGGACGTGATTAATGTCATATTTTGTTTTCAGCAGTTTTTATCTGTTATTTATATTGGTCTCATTTCTAACTCTTTTTTGATATAACTGGAAAGGAGGATAGACAATAAGACATATAATAGAGCCAAGTATTTAAGGAATCTAAAGTTATAGATAGCATTATGTAGTTTTGGGAAAGGTCAGTGACATTTTGGGAGGAGAGGGCTGCCTTGATTTACTTACTATTGATTCAGTAGTCCATTATTGCAAATTTTATGTTGTTGCAAAGAATAATTGATGAATATTAACCTAGTATAACATGTTTTTTTCTTTTTAATCTTCATGTGTTGTGTTTTTCAATCATTTTGACATATCTGAAAGCAAGCTTCAAAGTCTTGGACTACAGTTATAGGAACACGTGAATTTTTGAATTTTTAATAACATTTGTAAATAGATGTAATGTCTTGTGTTCATTTACTATAAAAATAATTTGAAAAATGTTTATTTCAGAAAGATGCAAGTGCAAAAGATGCATGGAGAAGTGTTGTCCACAAGGCCAACCATTGTCACAACAAATATAATCTACTTATAATATAGTATTCATCACCTTAGGGTTAGAAGACATTATTTTGTATATGAAAGTTTTAAACAAAAAATTTACGATTGTTTCAGGTTCGAGGAGATCCTGATGGCTGTGGTCTCGACTCTTATTCTTCTCTTTATCATTCTTCTCATAAAGAGCTAACACCTGAGGTAAATGAGTTATTTATATTGTTATGTCTCTGTACATTCGTTTGTTAATTTTCCTACGATATTAGTCCTTTCTTAAACAAAACTAGTTTATTCTTCCTCAATACAACTTTGCAATACACTTAATTAGTAATTAGTTCATATAGACAAAATTTAACAAGTGCTTCTACTTTATCGACTCTTTGTTATCTTCAGGAAATCTTCCTTAAAAAAGGCTGGTTGATGCAGCAGATTACAAAGGATTGGCATAAACAGTGGGTTGTGTTAACATCCTGCTATTTGATGCTTTACCAAGATCCAAAGGCAGAGACATTGAACATTGCCAATAGCGAGATAGACATTCAGTCAATCAAGTCTGTTGAAGAAGTTAAGACTGTGAAGAGTCATGCTTTTGCTATAAATGTGAGTTTTGAGAGAGTTATAGAGATGAAAATTGTTCCCTTTAATGTCAAGTGTTTTCTACTTGTAAAGTTATTTGTAAAATGTAATAATATCTTTACAGAAATAACGAGATTATCACATTACTTTTACATATTTGTAGATTCAACCAAGGTTTGTTCCCCCCCCTATAAAAAATAAAGGCTAAAATCACTAAAACAAAAATAGCAGCAATTATAATTTTCTTACTCAGACTGTAAAAATGTTGTTGTGTGCTTTAAAATGTTTACATAAATTTTAGCTTGGTTGCTTCCGACTGTAAGTTTTGATATTTCTGATTAGAGTAAAATGTATTGTTATTGGGTGAGAATGAAAAACCAGACTATTCCACATTTAGTGTATCTGATCCTGTGAGTATGGTGAGGTGGTGGTGGTGGTTGAGGGAGACATTTGTATATTTTGTTTTGTTCACCTACAGGAGATAGGGGAAGCTTGTTCTTATTCCACAGATAAGGTGATTTTCTGTAGCTCATAAACAATGAACATTTTTAGAACCTAATGTTTATAAAAATCACTGCTTCCTCTTTTTTTCCATAAGGATTTTAAATGTATAAAGTGCCCCCCCCCCAATACCCCCTAGTCCTCATCTTCCTAAATTATGCTAAAACAAACCTTTCAAAAGCCCCTCCAATAGATAAAACCTGGATTTGCCACTGTTCAAAATGACTAATTTTCAGACTCCTATCTAAAATGTTTTAAAGATTATGTTGCACCAAAGCTACCTACTGATATATTATTCTAAGATCTGTATTATATTGTGCAGCTGATAAATGTGTACACTACTAGTACCAACTATGAAGTTTGCAAATTTAAGATTCCCTCTGGAGCACTGCCTTGGGCACGTTTGTTGGACACACTGTATGAACTTTATTTTAGACTTCCAGAGTGTGATATTAGCCACATTTGAATTTGGAATTTGATACCATCATAAAGAAAGGATGACCCCCCCCTCCCCTTAAATTTCCCAGTACATGTCAAAGTTTAGATAAACAATGACTTATTAATTTGTGTATTTTTATTTATCTAAAAACAAACCTGGCACTGTGGAGTTTATCTATAAACATGAAAGCAAAGGATTTGAGAGATTTCTTATACAAGCTTTTTAAATTGTGTTCCTTTTCACAGGTATCATTATTTTACAATTATCCAGAATCATTAAGCATGCTAGTGCTTATATATGGAGTGTGTGTATTTGTAATACATACATTAAACTGTACTTCCATATAATATCTATTCTTGTCATTATATTATTACTATTAGCCAATCATCTTTTCTTTAATTCTTAAGCAGGGTCAAGAAAACTATTCTGAACAGATTAAATTTGGCTCTGAACTCTTCACGAGTATAGTCAAATGGTTCAAATCAAAGTCGAAATAATTACTAAGGTAAAGGTTAATGGCACAAACATGATATCTGCCAAACCAGTTTCAGTAAAAAAAAAAAGTAAAGAAAGAAAAAAATCATCTAAATCAATATTTACAATATCAAAGAGATCAAGTATTTATGCAACTGACAGATCTGTGTACATATTATTGATGTCCGAGTTTAAAAAAGTTAATTTCTTAATTATCAAAACAATACATTATATAGCCTACCATGCTTCAAATTATCAGTGGGGCCAAGCCTGGCAGCTGTGTGTGTATGTATGTGTATGTGTGTGTGTATGCGTGGTATCATGCTTCATGGCCTAGGATTTTTATGATGTCCTCCCCATTAATTGACATGACCCTAGTATGGGATGGAGTTGATTGTATGCACATGCAGTGAGGTTGGAAAACATGGGTTCTGTAAATATCCCCTTAACGTTGATCCAGTGCTCTGAGGTACTTGTATGTCCTGGAGGAACCATTTCAACTTAATTGGCCCCCAGTATAATCCAAAATTAAAGAAACTGATATATTAACAATATAAATTACCACTGAATTATAAAAATAAATGTTCACTTATCAACCTACTTCAATGAAATTGTTTAAAGAAAAAGAGGAGAAACAATTAATTAAAAAATCATAATAAAAAATAATTGCAAAAGCTAAGTATGAGTATAAGTAAATTAGGGATGAAAATGCCAAATCGTATAGAAACAAAGTAGGGATGAATACACAAAACCATACAAAAAATGCTTACATAAGTAGCCAATAAGTACTGAGCCAATATTACAAGCTTATTAGCCACTGTAAGACTATTCATTTTAAATGCTTTTATTTAAAACCTGAATTCATGCAACTGACAGGAATTCAACATTTAGTTGTAGATAAGTTATTCTTGGATAGATTGGGCTAGTTATGTAGTTATTTTTGTATGATTTTATGTATGACCCTACCTTGTTTCTGTACGTTTTGGCATTGCCTTCCCTATATTATACTTAATTTTTGAATTATTATTTTTTTTACTTGTTATAAAATAAAATGTCTTTGATATTGTTATGTCTCTTTGTGCTTATTTTCTTTATTTATTTAAATTCTGAGTCTTTGACAAAGTTTTGATCTCTCTTTACTACCAGGAGAATTGGAGAAATACAATTACAGTGGTAACTAGTTCAGATTGTTTGAAAATGTGGTACAGTAATATTAATACCAAATTTTTTCGTTGTTTAGATATATGCAGGCTTTTGATATAATATATGGTAAAAAAAAAAAACAAGAACTGTTAAGCTGATCTTGCTTCAAATTACCGTTGTTTCTTTAATCGTCCTTTTCGAATTGGTAATACCTGTTGCCACCCATGGAGAACGTCACTTACAGTTACCTTGTTTCAGGAAGTTGATAGCAGCATTTTCAATTGGTTATAGAGGTAATATTTAGAGGTTATGGGCCCCACATATGTGGAATGAGAATGACTTTTGTCATGTAATGCATGTTGTAACGGTTAAATGTGAGGTTTCTTTGAAGTTAGAAACCTTGCATTTAGATTTTATTGACCTGGTCTTCATTGAACCCTTCAACTATAAAAACTTCTTAAAGAAGTGATTGTCCAACATAAACAATTATAAATAACAATTACACAGTTTTTTATCTTTGGTTGTTTTCATTGTGTTCAGTCTGTTCATTGTATAGCTTAAATCAGCCAATAAGTACTGTGTAATACCTTATCTTGATCATATCCTCTGTTTGATGGACTTGTCTGGTATAGCTCCAAGTTAAATAAGCTCATCTAAATAACTACAAAGGTATTCAGAAAAAAAACTAACGAGATGAAATGTATTTTTATGTTGCTCTTAACTTTAACTTGTGTTGTTTTGTTTTGTGTTGGGTTTTTTGTAGTTGCTCTCCTTCATCAAATAATATCACTAGCTATGCTTCTTGTGTTGTTGCTATGATTGAAGCAACTTTTTAAAGATTATAGGAAATAAGTTTTCTTTACGGACAGGACCCATGAATAAAATAACTTTATACAATTGATGAGAAAGCTAAATAAAGTTTTCTTTCCTAAATTTTGAGTGTATAAAATAATTTACCTTTAACTACATTAATTAAACAGTCAAGTTTAATTACCTTCAGTTTTCTAGTTTCTTTTTTTTCAATATGTGGTTTTTGTAATTTAAATCTCATTTATTTTGTTTGTTGTGTATGTTTACTTAATTAGTCTACTAAAGGATGTGTAGTAATGTAGCTTTATATGTACACACATAATGTTTTGGGACAACAAGGGACCTAGTTGACCATCTTGATTGTCCCATCCTCTAAACTAAACTAAAACTATTAAATAATTAAATGTTTAAAAAACTTTGCAAATTCTTCACTTTTAAGTATTTACACAAACTTACTATGTTAATTCTTTATATTACAGAAACTTTCTGTTGTTTCAGACTTTAAATGGCAAGACATACACATTTTCTGCTGTCACAACAGGAATGTGTAATAATTGGATTCAAGCCCTTCATCATGTCATCGATGTGTACATCACATCTCCTCTGTTCAAATCTCCATCAGGTCTTCAGTCACGAAGAATCAGAAGAATAAACTATCAACAGGGGTTTATTTCTACAAGTAATTATTGTGTTCCATATTCGGCAGAGAAACGAAACCTACAAACAAAATTGGACATTTCATCAACAAGTGACGATGGCTCAACTGTAGAGGACCGATTTACTGAACAGTTACCACCAGTAAATCAAACTCTTCCTTTATCACCACCTTTAAACCGCACAATGGTTTCTAAGCTCAAGGAAAAGGCCAAATTACGGTCTTCTCGATCAAAGATTTCTGACAAACATATAAATTGCATATTATCTAGTAGTGCAGACGAAAGTTTACTGGCTGGTACAAAGGACTTTCATAATAACAAGTTTACCAAGATGAGAAATTCATTGAAAGTGAGTTAAATTTTTATATTTATAATAACATACTAGTGCAGTTACACTTAGTAATTTATTTCGACTATCATTTTTTATAGCTTCTTTAGTATTTAAGCTTTTAAATAAATGATAAGTAATTATTTTTAAACATGCTGTGTTTCAAACATACTGTTGGTGTGAAGGTGCTTTATAGTCACTACGAGAAAAACCTATAAGCTCGAAGTAGGTCCAGTTCAATCTACACTTTGATCAACATGTTATTGGGTTATACTAGTTTTGGAAAATTTCACTCCTTGTCAGTAACCCTAAACACAAGTTAACCAAAGAGAGATAAGCTGGATCTATATCATAGTGAAATGTATCAAACATACTGTTGGTGTGAACCTGTATAACCCAATAACACATGTTGGTCAAAGTGTAGACAGAACTGGAACTTCTTTGAACTTTGACTTCATTAAGCAATTTTCGGAATAGTAAGTTTATTTATCATATTGTTTCTTTATCCTATAATTATTTTAAGTAATGCGATTTTGCTGAGTAGATGTGATTTTTAAGACAAATTTAGATACAATAAGCTGAATTTTTCAGTAATTTCATTTGTCTTTTTACTTATTAAAAGTTTAAATTTAACAACATATTTTTTAAAAATATGAAAACTCCAATTTTAATGAGCTATTTGTGAATGTTTTTTTGAAGTCAGAATGGTTTAAATGCATTTTCATTTTTCTTGGTGATGGTTATTTTTTTAACATTGTTAGTTTAGCTACATAAACACCTAACACAACAGTTCAACTCAAAATATTCTACTATATTTCATTTGCAAGTAGGTGTAATTTGTTGACTTTTTTAGCAAGACAAATAGTCTAATTTGCTTTTCAATAAAGTTTTATTGTAAACAGGAGTACCAACAGCCTGATATCTCCCTGGAGGTCACTGATAGCTCAAGTGAACCAAGTGTTTATTCTCCACTTCAAACTGTTGCTGATATATCAGTGTTGCAAAATGGAGAAGTTGACTTTAAGAACAAACAACCTCCATACCAAGAACTGGTAAACAGGCATAGCCTTGTTGAGATCAAGCCAAGTTCCTTTTTACAGCAAAAAGATACAGTAAATTCAGATGATGGTTTTGTGGATATTCTAGATAGATCATGGAAAGAAAGCTTGCAGTCTAAATATAGAAACAGCTCATTGAATAATCAAATGATCTCAAAGGCTACAGCTGTTGATAAAATAGGTAAAAGAAGCTCTGAACAAGAGAGAATATTGAAGAAAGAAAAGGATGTGGAAGAAAAAGAGGCAAATAAAAGATCTCCCATACAAGAAATAGTTGTAATTGATGACATATTGAAGAAAGAAAAGTATGTGGAAGAAGAGGCAAATAAAAGATCTCCTGTACAAGAAATAGTTGTGATTGATGACATATTGCAGAAAGTAAAGTATGTGGAAGAAGAGGCAAATAAAAGATCTCCTGTACAAGAAATAGTTGTGGTTGATGACCTGGAGACATCTCTTTATTTATGTCAGGATAGATTGTTTGACTTGAAAAAGAAATTACAAAAGACTTCAAATATTAAGGAAGAATTGCTTTTAGTTGGTGAGGATATCTGTATTTTGTCTGAAGAAGTTGTAAAGATGTTAGGTTTGCATGACATAAAATTAAAGGACAGAAGTGAATTTTATGAATTAAAAGGTGTAACTACTGATCTCCAGAATGCTTGCAAGACCAAGGACACAGAGGTAGAGAAACTGAGCAATGAAGTAATAGCTTTAAAAGCAAACTTGAATGAATTAGAACAGAATTTGCAGAAAGCTCGTACTGAAGTGGCCAAGCTACAGAAGGAAAACATGTGCTTAAAGGACCGTGTGAAACAATTAGAAATGGTCTTAAGAACGTCGGGTTACAATTACTTGTGTAA